CCGTAAAACCATTTGTCTCGATAAACTGGGAGAAATGATTTCTTCCCAGCACATTTCTGGACCTGTTTAAATAAAGGACGCAACGTTTGCCAGTGCTTTCACCGAGTGGAAACAATGATGTTAGGCCCGTTCCCCCTCACCGATACCAAATCGGGAGTGCACCCATGTTGGCGAATGGGATCCCGACTGATGCAAGTGACAGGCGGAGCCGAACCAGAGCCAGAGCCGGAGTTACCCAAACACTGCAGGGCCATATGGGGATGTGTATAGTAAAACACAATGAAACGTCCCATAACTCATTATCAGAGAGTCGGGATAACATAACACTCATATTTTGCGCTGTCACAACCACTGGAATCGTTCTAAACATCTCGCCGTCGTTCCCAGCCCTCGTCTCCTGCCTTGGGTGATGGGCAAGCTGCAGGGTGGAAGATGCCCCCCAAAATCCCCCAAAACACCACCCGGCAGATGTTGCACACCGTTATTAGCAATCAGTAACGCATGGGGTGATGAGGAAGAGAGCCAGATGAGATTGCGCCGTGGCTTTGAGCGGGGAATTTTCCATCCTTTTGCCTTTTCTGCATTGTAGACATTCTTCCAGACAGCTCCAGCTCCTATTACAGCGGAGAGGGCTGTAGAAATGGAAAGCATTAAGGGAAAGAGCGGCGATTCTATTGGAACCACATTTCCTTGTGCAGACGGTGCGGGACAGGGCGATGCTCCCGGAACACGAGGACGCACGTGTCCCCAAGAGGACAACCCTGAGTGACACGCACGGAAGCGACACGCAAGCAAAAGCCACGGTTGGGTGATGGCCGCGTCGGCCCTGCTCGTCCCCCGGGTGTTGTGTGGCTGCACAGTGCAGCTGCAGCCCAGATGCACTCCCCGAACCATCACACGCCGCCAACGTCAGCCACTTCCCCCGCACCTCTGCGTGGGGTGAAAAAGGAAAAGGGGGGGAAAAAAAGGAAGAGGCGTTGCAGCTATCTGCGTTGCTTTGCAACACGCCTCGCGTTGGGGGTTTCCCAGTGCTTTGGGGTGCTTTTGGGGTTGCAAAGTGCAGCAGGGTGGGTTCAGCAGCACGAGGGTGCAAAGCTGCTGCTGACCTCAGCCCTGCAAGCCCCGAAACCAATGGGTATCTCCAACACGTCTCCAAAACCCGGCACCAGGAGCAACACAACAGCTGCAAAACCTCAGCATCACCTCCGTGCTCCCGGTGACACAGGGAGCTCGGTGCTAACCCTGCTGCACTGCTCTGAGCACCTTCCTGTGCTTGGGTTTTGGTTGCTTGTTGTTTTTGTTGTTGTTTTTCGCTTGTTTAACTGGAGGCTTCTGCAACACAACTAATTTTAGTTTTATAGTAGTGAGAACTGGAACGCGCCCAAGCCCTTCAGAGCGCAGTTATTATTATTAGATTTGGGTGCGTTGTGTTGCTTTATTTGAGGGTGGAAGCAAGCTGTGGGCACAGCGTGGGTCACAAGCACAGATCGTCCTGCAGCTGCTTCTGCTTCTTTTGGGGATCACCTTTGTCACCACCACCCCAAAATCCTGCCCATGTCCCCAGTGGCCATGGTCCCAATATGGCACAGAGGTCCCCCAGCGGAGCGCTGCCATCAGAGCGTTCTCCCTCCATGCCCAGGACACGACACCAATATTCTCCTTCTGTTTATGATTTGCTTTTTCTGGGAAGAGGGCCAAGGGGAGAAAACCCATCAATCCCAGGCAACAAATTTAGCCTGCCCGGAGAATGCAAAAGTCTGCGGTCTCATTTATTTCTCCGCAGAGTAAACAAGAGTGACACTGCTGTAAATGCGAAGTGGAGCCAAAGCCCAGGCCTGAGCCCTGTCCTGCATGCGCTCCGAGCTGTGCTGCCCCATTGGGAATCCCACACACCCTTAGGACAAAGCTGGGCCGGCTATGGGGGATCCTCACCTGCTGCAGCCCAGCCGTGCTGGTGGCCGCGTGGCTCTGTGTCACCTCCATGGCAGTGGCACGTCTCCAGCCCGGCTGCAGGCGGAGGGGCCATGGGCTTAATCCAGTTACTGCAGATTATCCTACAAAGCAGCAGCTGCAGGGAGCAAGGGGATGGGGTGTGGGGAACGGAGATGGAGCTTTTCCACGGTGTGCATGCAGCTCTGCACCCAACGTGGGGCTTTGGGGCACAGCACGGGGACCCCAGCACGGACACAGTGAAAACAGGGGATGTCAGCCCCACCTGGGGCACCCATAGCCATCCAACACCCCTATGCCCACAACACCAGGCACCCTACGGACACACTGCACACATTAGACCCTGCACACACATCCCTGTCACCTCTACGTGCAGCTCACAACCCCTCATCAGGTGACACATCCGTGTGACAACACCCGGTGCTCAGCCCAGTGCACAACGACACGGACAACATCTGTGCACAACACTCCACGTGCAGCACACCCTGAGTGTGTGTGTCACACCCTGAGCCCAGCGCCTGTGTCGCACAGCCAACTGGAGGATCAGCTGATGGGAACCCACGCCATGGGACAACACTCACACTTACACCTTCCTGTGCAGCCCCACGGTCACAGTGCACACATGTGGGCAGGGAGCAGCGCTCGGGGCCACGCGAGCGTCGCAGTCTCTCTTCCTCCCACTGGATATGTGGGGATCCATGGGGCATCTCTCCTTCTCCCCCACGGACATGGAGGGTCCACGGGGCATCTCATCTTCTCCTCCATGGACAAAGAAGGTCCCAGTGGATATGCGGGGTCCATGGAGAATCACTCCTCCTCCCACCGGACATGGAGGGTCCATGGGGAATCTCTCCTCCTCCCAATGGACATGGATGGTCTGTGGGGCATCTCTCTTCCTCCCCCACAGACGTGGAGGGTCCCAGTGGACATGGGGGGTCTGTGGGGCATTTCTCCTCCTCCCAATGGACACGGAAGGTCCATGGGACATCTTTCCTCTTCCCAATGGACACGGTGGGTCCACAGGTCGTCTCTCCTCCTCCAACTGGACACGGGAAGTCCACGGGGCGGGCAGCGGCGCGGGGTCCATCCCCATCCCCAGCGTAGCCTTCGCCCCCATTGGGCCACCCCCCAACCCGGCCCTTCACACACAGCCGCACTCTTTGGCTGACAGCTCGTTGACGGTGTAGTAACGGTTGTAGGCATCCAAGAAGGAGACATCATCATCATAGGAGAGCGGCCTGCAGCAGGGCCGCGCGCGCACCTTCTCCTTCCTGATCTTCTTCCTGCTGCGCACGCTCTTCAGAGAGAGGTCATAGTTCCTGACGGCTGCGTCGCAGGTGCCGCTGCAGTAGCGGAACAACACGGTCTCATCCGACTCGTAGCCCAGGCCCAACTCGCTGACGCTCACCTCCAGCTCCTTCAGGGCGCAGGGTTTGTGGCGGGCGCGTGCGCGCTTCATGCGGTTGCCCGTTTTGGGGAAGAGGGGCAGCTCGTGGCCACCCGAGTTCATGGCCTGGCTGTAGCGTTCCACCAGCGCCGAGATGAGCTGCCGGATCTCCCCTTCCGTGTAGCTCTCCAGCAAGCTGCTGTCTGCAAGAGAAGGGGGTGGAAAGGGCAGCGTTCAGCGCCACAAAGCCAACGGCGGCCGTGAATCACAGGTGCACAGAAACGCAGGTGTGGGGTGAGTGGGGATGGACCCCCCGCTCCCTCCCCGGCATGCATGGGTAGATGGTGGTAGGATGAGGGGAAACAGCATTAAACTAAAAGAGGGGAGATGGTTTAGGTTAGATTTGAGGAAGAAATCTTTTATGCAGAGGGTGGTGAGGTCCCAGCACTGCTGCCCAGAGCTGTGGGTGCCCCATCTCTGGAGGTGCCCGAGGCCATGGATGGGCACTGGGCAGCCTGAGCTGGTGAGGAGCACCCAGAGCAGAGGGGTACAACTGGATGATCCTTAAGGTCCAACCCAACACTCCAACTCAATGGTTCTGTGAACTTTAAGGCTCCTTCCAATCAGCTCATTCTATGGCTCTATAATCCTTGACGCCCCGTCCAACCCAACCCATCCTGTGACTCAGCATGGGGCTGAGACCCCAAGATGGGTTCCCCACTGTGCAAAAACGAAGACCCCACGAATAACCTGACCTTCCTCCTCTTCCCTCCTCCTCCTTTCTGTTTCCCTGCCCAAAGCCATGCCCTTCCTGCACATCAAGTGCATGCTTAGAAGTGGAGGGGAAAAGAAAGCATAATGAATATCTGCTGTGCTCATGGTTTCCAGCTGGCCGATGGCAGCAGCGCTGCGGGTGGGGATTGGGCAGCAGCACGATGTGGGGTGCACACAGCAGTGGGGACACGGGGGCACCAAGCAGCACACGGGAACCAACATTTCATGGTGGCATTGCCCCAGCTTGCCAATGTGCAAAAAAATTTTCCAGATCCTAAATCATTTCCTAAGAGATCATACTACAGAAAAGCCACCGTGGAGTGGTGAGGAACTCCAGCAAATGTAGTATTTGGGATGTTTCCCTATTGCTTGGTTGAAGGGCTGGTCACCAGAACTGCAATGCACGCTGCACACACAGAGTCCAACCGCAGCTGGCAGCATCCTTGTCCCCATGTCCTAACACTGAGCCCAGGCTTTGTCCAACCCAGCACTGGGGGAAGCACAGAGGAAAGCATAATTTGACAGCTTGTCATTGATTTCCAAATTTCAAACCAAGAAGTTCCTCTGGTTTGGAATAAAAGCAAACACGCCTGGGATTTCCAGCAGCTGCGAAGGCAAAGGGGCGAGCGGCGCTCCGGGGGAAGTTGCTGCAGGATGGAGCCGCTTCCCTTTGCTTTCAGCTCCTGTTTGACATTTTGCTTTTTTAAAAATAGCATGGCAATTTACAACAACAAAAAAAGGCCCTTTGGAGAAAAAAAAAAGGGGAAAAAAAAAAAAAAAAAAGAAAGCAGCTTTTAGCATGAAGATGAGCGTGAAGGTTTGCTGCCTTTTCCGTGCGTGGTTTTCCTGGGATGCTCCCAACCCCGTGCTTTGCTAAACGCTCCCGACCCGCAGTGCAGGAGGAAGGGAGGGATGAGGCTGACACAAAAGCAGCCCCCGTTGGTGCTGTGGGGCTGTGGGTGCTTACACTGGGAGAGCAGAGAGCTGTGGCGTGGCAGGGCCCGGGGGGGTCTCCGCGGAGCCACCGGCAGCGAGGAAGAGGAAGAGGAGGAGGAGGATGCCCGTGAGGCCAGCGAGGAAGGCAAGGGGCTGTATGTCCGGCTTCCGTTGAACATGTCTCTACAAACTAAAATGGATAACATGGAACTGAGGAGCATCGATGCAATGGCTGCAAACTTCCATACCTTCATCTTAGAGCAAGTCAGAACATTGAAACTCTGCAAAACAGGCAAAACAAATATCCTTATTACACCGCCTTTGCCCGGGGCCACCTCTCCCACCCCTGTCCCCACGACTCAGGTTGGCCAACAGCCCCCTGCCGGGATCTGGCCCATCCTCTCTGCCCCCAGCCGTGATCCGGATGGGACTGCAGTGGGGAAACTGAGGTATGGGGTGTGGGCTGAGCAGGAGAAAGGCGAAGGTAGTTCATGGATGGGCTGTCCCCAGTGGTGACAATGGGGACGAGGGGATATTCTCGCTCCATGCAGCCCCAGCAGCAGGTGGCATGCGGGGTTTAAGCCTCCCTCTTGGTGCCTGGGTCTCCATCTTGCCCTTGCATTGGGGCTGAGACTCTGGTGGGTGGCTGTGAGTGAAGGATGGGGAAACCCACAGGGAGGGGACTCCACACTGAGCCCCACTGCTCTGCCTCTGTCAGTGATGCGGACAGAGCCCAGACTGCAATGGGGAACGGGGTTGTGCTGCTCAACCTCCACCCAGATCCCTGCCCCAACAGTGCACCAACATGGCCACCCCCAAACCCCCCCAAAAAACAGCAAAACCACAAGAACCACCCCACTCCATCCATCCCAGCAGCGCTGGGGACTGAAATTCAGAGCTGCAGCACCTGAAGATCTCACATCACCCCAAAACCCTGGAGCAGCCAGGATGCCCTTACCTGACAGCGCTGGGATCTGTCCATCCAGAGCAGGTTGGACCTGATGGGAGCTGATGGGTGCAGCCATTAAACCCCCATCACCGCCAGCCTTCAGAGAGCGGCGCTGACTCGCAGTCACCTCCCATCCCCTTTTTCTCATCTCAGCTCCTTGCAAACTCCAAACATTTCTCCTTTTTAAACAAATTTTCCACGGGGTGTCAGAGGTTGGGAGGGGGGTTTGGGGGAGGGGGGTGGGGCAAAAAGAGAAGGGAAAGAAAAAAAAAAACACAACAAAACATAGCCTGGTTTAGCAATATTTGCCAAATAGAATATACTGGGGAAAAAAAATGTTTATTTTAAAATGGAATTTAACAGATTCTCTTCTACCGTTACTGCAGAAAACAACCCTGAGAGCTGTGCAAGTGCTGCCTCATTGCCAGCAACACTTTATTTTACAGGATGCAGATAATTATGCGTTAACTAGCAGTAATTATACGCCCCGTAGGTTACAAGATAATTGTAGAACCCAGCCAGAGCCTAAATATTTTCAACTGGGCTATAAACAATGCCAAGATAGAAAAAGAATAGTTTGGCCATATAAGGAGGTAAGATCATGAAATCCCTCCGTGGTACCGGGAGGCAGCGCCGGAGCGACACGCACTGCGCGCCGCGGTGCCGCGTTGGGCTGAGCGCTGCGAGGGCGGATGGTGCCCCATGAGCTGCGGTGGGGAGGGTCATCGGAAGGCATGGAGTGGGTTTGCCCCGTGGTTAATGGCAGTGTTTGAGGGGTTTCAGGCTGAGAGCAATGAGGAGAGAAAGGGGAATGCATGCTGGAAACGCTCGTGGGCATCAAATAGGTGTGGCGAAGCAATGGGGGACGGCGTTGAGGCTTTGGATGCGGTGCTGTAGGGTTGGAGCTGGGCAGGACACAGCGCGGCCAACCCCAGGGAAGGGCTTCTGGCTCGTTCTGAGCCCGTAACATTTCAGCAGGGCGGGTTCAGCCTCGCACACCCCGTACAAACGCTCCTCTTTGGGCAGCCAGCAATTGTGGCCCCCGCCCGCTCGCTGGTGACCTTTCCAAAGGCTGGATGGAACTCTGGCTCCAACGTACAAAACTATCAGAAACAAAAATGATTCATAGAATCATAGAATCATAGAACGGCCTGGGTTGCAAAGGACCACAATGCTCATCCAGCCCCAACCCCCTGCTGTGTGCAGGTCACCAACCAGCAGCCCAGGCTGCCCAGAGCCACATCCAGCCTGGCCTCGAATGCCTGCAGGGATGGGGCATCCACAGCCTCCTCGGGCAACGTGTGCCAGTGTGATTCCAAGCTTTGCCTTTGGTTTCTCTCACTTTAAGCCCCAGACCCCATGTGCCAACCTGTGGGAAAAGCAGAAACGCAAAGGGGAAGAAAAGGAAAATCACACACACACAGCTCACAGCCACGACTCTCCCATGGCTGACTCTGAACTGTGCCCTCTGGTTTCCACCTATCCTAAACCCAACCCCAATGATAACATTTTGCCGCGGCTGGATTGTCCCACGCTGCCATGTGCTGGTGCCCAGCTACTCCTACGGGCATCATGGCTCTGCCATTCTGCACTGCCCCTTCCCCATCCCTATCCTTGAAGCCTCCATCCTCCTCCAGCAAAAATCAGTCCTCCCTGAGCTGCCCATGGGCTCAGCATCTGCTGAGTTGGGTACCACAACGCTCCTCCTTCTGGCACAGGGAACACCACGCTCTTCCCAGCCTGCCATGAGGTCCCATCTTGCTGCTCCTCCAGGGCTCAACAAAAGGCCAAAGGCTGCACTTGGATTTTCTTCTGGAGAACAGCCCAAAAGCACTGCGCTCTCCCGAATTCTCCTGATAATCCATCAGTGCAGTGGTACAGATCCAGCCGCGCTGCGCCTGCTGCCAAGCGGGAAACTCGATCCTGCAGGAGGAAACCCTTCCCAGCAGCCCCACTCTGCAGGAGCCGAGCACCAAACTGAGCCCATGCTTCTCTGCATCCTCCCCAGAAGGCTCCACGTCCTGAAGAACTGGAAACCTCACAAAAAAATGATGGCCAGCAGCACAGCCGAGGCTTATTGCTTTGCCTGGAAAGAAGCAGCCGATGATCTTGGCTCTGCCCGGTGCTGGGGTGAGCTCCCTGCCCAGCTCCCATCTCAGCCCAAAGCATTGAGCCCATCCCTCGCTTCCATGCGTGCTTCTCCAGACCATAACTCCCCCATTGCTCAGCAAAATGTAGAACCGATGGAGCTTGGCTTCTAGTTGGAGGTTTCTTCGCCCCATCTCCCAAGCGCTGGAATTTCTCACGCCTTTCCCTGCTCAATGGGAGTACAGCATTCCCATCCCATGGACTCACCAACGCCCGTGGGCTGCACTGCGTTCGGGACCGTGTGGGCTTCAGCCACTTCTCACGCTCTCAGGTTCTCTCCTCCACGACCATTTCCAGCTGTTAAGCCCACTCACGTCGCCCTTCAAACTCCTCAATGCTGAGGCGAGGGGAGAAGCCGAGCTTCATTTTTTTACCCTTAAATCCTTCTTTATAGCAGAGAGAGGGGGAAGAGCAGACGTGCGAACGTTCCGTCCTCAGGCTTTGAAGCCTAGAAGCCAGGGCGCCCAAAAGACATTATATTGTAAGTATGTCATAAATTTTCAGTCGATTCATGCTTCCGGGCATTGATTCATTATTTTCAAGCTCTCGGCCTCGGCCACGGAGCGAGAATGGATGAGGCCACGGAGTGGCCGAGGTTTTTGGCAACACGAAACACTTGGAAAGATCAAGGCCTTGACGGGACATCAGAGAGAGCTTCCACCTGCCACACTGTTTATTTTAGTGCCTTACATGGGAGCCAAGCTGCTTTGAAATCCCGGCTCCTCATGACTCACCCCGCAGGAATTAAACAATTTCCATCCCGGCTCCGTGCTGTGGCGGAGCAGCTGTGGTTCTTCCAGGCTCCTGGAGAAGCCAATGGATTGAGCAGCTCCCAGGGGTCCCAGCACCACCGGTGAGGATGGGGACAGTGCGGTGCTCAGACAGAATGCTCCTCAAATGGCCCTGAGTTGGTGAGATCCCCTCTGGAAGCGCAGCCCCCAAATGGCATCGCTGTGTCTGAGTGCTGTAGGTTAGACGTTGTGCTGAGAAGGGCTGCAGTGGGGATGCCAGTGCTGCAGGGCCAGAACAGCCCCAGGGTGGCAAAAAGCCCCAAAATGGGGAGCGTCAGAAAGAAACATGCCCCAAACCCTGGTCTGAGCTTAATTAATTAGCATTAAGCAGATGCAGAGGAGAGAAAGAAAGAAGAAGTCCCGAACTCCAGCTCTATCTCAGGGTTGCTCTGTGCCAGCAGCCCCGTGGCAGACGGCAGCACCGTGCACAAAGCACACGTGGGTTTGGGGCATCTCAGTGCCCATGGAGCCATGCTGTCACCACTGCTCCCTCTCCCCTGACTCCTCCCCAGCTCTCCCCGTGCACTCTAAGTAAAACCAGAGCCCCGCACTCCACATGGATCTGCTTTCCCAAAGTGACAAGCAGCCCAAGGCGAGGAGCTGCAGAGCTCTCCACTTTCCCTCGTTCCTCCCACAGGGCTGGGGTCAGCCCCTCGTGCTCCACTGCTCTGTGTGCCATGGGGCTGCAGGGAGAGAGACGGGAGGGTCAGGGTGGTGAGGCTGCCTCCCTTGTCCCTACCACCACCTCTCCCAAGGGGCAGTTCCTTTTATGACCTTTATCCACTGATTCCATGGGTCTAACCAGCAGCAGAAGCCACCCTTTGTGCTAAGAGGTGGAAACGGAGAGGTAAAACTACAGGGAAATGTTTTGGGATTGCATTGCTCAGCATCAGCAGGAGCAGAGAGCGCGAATGCAAAATCACTCCTTTGAGGTGGGAGTAAACCAAGGGTGTGAAACACAACGTGATAGCAAAAGCACTGCACGGAAATGGCCCTTTGATGGTGGGCAGGAAAAGAAAACAGAGCATGGAAGCACTCCTGTCAACAACACCACCAGAGGATTCTCCCCAGAATCTTTACGTCCAACCTCAACAGGGAACACGCAGGCAAAGAGGAAATCAGAGCTAACGTGAGCCAAAAAACCACAAGTATGACAGCCCAGGCACTCATGGGTGCTGGCAGATGGTGCTTCTCCAGCCCCAAATTTCCCACTCCTGCCAAAACCTTCTCTGAACGACAGCCCTTTTGGAGCGACGAACCAACCCTTCCAATGCTAAATAACCGCACGATGCCAGAAAGAGGTGGTTTGCTGAAGGAGACTAATTGCTGTGGCTTGTTTGAACAACCCCAGTGCCTGGGGAAATAGGGTTAAAAGCTTACATTTTGGCAGCGGGGCTGAGCTCGGGCCCCAGATGTGCTTTTCTCTGGGCCAATTTCGACACCACTGGTATCCACAGAACCTCCTCCTGCTCTGAGGAAGTCACTATGGGACCCAGCAGGACCGGTGGCACAGGAGAACATTGAGGAATGTGGTCCTAAAAGCAAGCAGTGCCTCCTCCAGCCCAGCACTGGGGCATCCCTCCATCCGGCTGTCCTTTTTCCCAAAATCTGCTGTTTTTGCACAGAAGGAGCTGGTTTGTCAAGGCGCCCGCTGGGGATTACAGTGCTTTGCTGAGGGCAGGGAGACCCGATAGAGGTTTGCAAATCCAATTTGCACTAAACCCTTCCAGTGGGTTTTGAAAGGTGCACAGGATAATATCACATTAGCATTTACCATCCGACTCCAGCAGCAGCTGCCGACATATTGAAGCACTTAGAGCTGCTCCACAGCGACCGAAGGAGGAATTCCTCCTGTGACGGCGACGGCAGAGTGCTGGGAATGGAGATTTCGTGGAATCACAGAGATTCCCGAGTTGGAAGGGATCATCAAGTCCACATTCTGCCTCCGCACGTGGTCACCAAAAATTCACACTGTATTTCTGAGTGCTTCCTGAGCTTTGCTCCCCTTGTGAAGGAGGTGCAGGCTGCCATGAGGAGCTGTGGGGCATGAGGGAGCTGTAGGGCCACCACGAGGAGCTGTAAGACCACCATGAGGAGCTGGAGGGCCACCAGGATGGAGCTGGAGGGCATGAGGGATCTGCAGGGCCACCACAAGGAGCTGTAGGGCCACCACGATGGAGCTGTAGAGCAGCCATGAGGAGCTGTAGGGTGTAAGAGATCTGTAGGGCCAGCACGAGGAGCTGTAGGGCTACCAGGATGGAGCTGTAGGGGCACCATGATGGAGTTGTAGAGCTGCCGTGAGGAGCTGTAGGGCCGCTGTGAGAAGCTGGAGGCCAAAAGGAACCTGTGTGGCCATCAGGAAGGAGATGTAAGGCCACCACTGGGAGCTGCAGGCTGCCATGAGGAAGCTGTAGGCCATAAGGGAGCTATAGGGTTGCCATGAAGAGGCTGTAGGCCACCATGAGTATTCCCTGTTTCCTCTTCTCCAAGCCAAACAAACTGAGGGATCTCAGCCACTCCTCATGCTCTCTGAACCCTTTGCCATCTTGTTGCCTTCCTTCAGACACTCTCTAAAAGTTCTGAGTCCTTCCTGCCCACTGGGACACATTCCCCTCCAGCTCCATTTCAGCAGCCCCAAAAAGTTCAGAGAAGGTTCAAAGCTGGGAGACGATGAGGGCTGCAGACAATGGGGAAAATCAGGGCAGATGTGTGAAGCACAGTGGGTCAGGAGTGCCTGGTCCTTTGTGCACAGACACCATCGTGACAGCACTGTGCTCCTGTCCCCCTGGGCAAACTGCCTGCTGGGCTCAGGGCTTTCCATAGGGGTATGGAGGAGCTGAGCAGCTTCCATAAGTGCAGAGCTTTGCCCTCAAAGCCTCACCACCAGTGGTCCCAGGGTGGTGGCACTCAGATCTGTGCTGCCCAGAGCCACTTGGGATCAGATATGGCAGAAGTGTGGCCTGGGCAGGACGAGGCAAACAGCAGCCATTAGTCCTTCCCCACCAACGTCCCTCCCCACAGCCACCCAGCTGCCTCACACCAATGAGCCCAACCCCAATGTCATGAGCTGCACCCCATACCTACCTCTTCCCCATGTCCCCAAGTGCTTCCAGCAGGGATGCAGCACAGCCAGCACCCTGCAGGACCCCATCCACCACTGCCCCAGGAAGCTTGTGAGATGCTTGGAGGGCTCGTGCTGCCTTGCTGCTAGCTCCTTGCTCCCCAGCTGGCTCCTTGCAGCCCTCTAAGCTGCTGTGGATGAGGGTGGACACCCGATGGGGGCATGGCCCTCATAGGAGCACAGGGCTGTGGCACTCGGCGCAGGCAACGACTGCCTCTTGCCTCCTCCTGCTGCTCCACTGCTGGCACCATCCTTCCCAGATGGCTCCATAGAGCTGCTAAGCCTCAAAAATGCAGTCTTAATAAGCCTGCACCACTTAATGAAGACAGCAGCTACCCTGTAAAACCGCAGGCGAGCCGTTCTATAGGGGACAGCCCAGAGGGACAAGCAGAATGCCTGCCCCAAGGCATGTGGGTGCACTGGTTTGTCCCCATGTCACCTGCTTTGGTCCCCTGCCCTATGCATGGGCACGACATTCATCTGTTCTTCTGCCACAGGCAAGGTAACAGAGAGGGAAAAACTCAAGGAACTACGAAATGTCTCTGCTGGGAGCATCCCCTGGCTGCTCCTCCCCGTGCTGCTGCTACCTGGGAACCACAGTGCCACCGTGTCATGGGGATGCAGGGCCCACAACCCCAAATAGGAGTGGGGGCTCTGCCCCATCCTGCGGTCCCTAAGCCCATCAACTCTTTAGAGGAGAGGATCAGAGAGCAACAACCACCGCAATAAATACACTGTGTGCTCCCTGCCCGGCCACGGCCAACAACAACATCATTAACGGCAAAAAGAAACCACCAAAAGCTGCACAGAAGCTGCTGCCTCGTCACAATCTGAGCACTTGCTGCTTTAGCAGCTCCGCTGCTGGAGGAAGGAGGTGGGTGAGAGCAGCTCTCAGCCACGGGATGTGACCACAGAGCTGCTCCCAGCCCTGCAGTGGAGCTGCTTGCTCAGTCCATCCCCTAAATCCCAGGACTGTTTGCTTGCTTTGAGAACTGCCATTTGCTCAGTTCCTTCTGGGATGCATTTTTCCACGAGATGAGTTTGCAGACCTCTTCACCCAACCAACATTGCTGGAAAAACAGCCGAGGTGAAATCAAGGGCTCTCCAAAGCCCCCATTATGGCAAACTCTGCTCCAGGGCAACTCAGTGCCGGGCATCGCCCAGGAGAGCTCACAGTTACGGCCTCAGCGCTGCACGTCCCCGCAGCCCAGACCCTGCAAGCTCAGCCTGGCCAACATTCAAAGGAAACTTTGAAAAAGATGTGGTTCCATCCAAATCAAAACACTTCACGAAAAGCAGCATTGATGGCACCCGCATTCCTTGTCGGGGGGCTGACAGGCTGGCGACGCGGCCTTTGAACAGCTGCAGGAGGAAATGCTTTTTTGTCATCGTTTGAGAACAACTCAGTGGCAAATGACTGTTTCAATTTAGCTCTTTGGAGTTACAAAGTGAGACCATTTGGGGTTTCGTGACAAAGAAGTGAACAGAGCAAAACTGCTCGTGGCATTTCCCTTCCTGGGGCAGCGGCGGAAGGGCTGGCTCCTTCCCATGCTGGGGATGCTCCTTCACACGAGAGCATCCCTGTGGCACCAACAGCAGCCAGCTTGTGTTTCTTTTCCCTTCTTCCAACTTCAGTGGGGAAGGACTTCTCCAAATGGGCCGAATCACTGGAAGAGATGCACTGGGGGGGGAGATTCCTTTGGTCTGATCTGCAAAGGATGGGGCTGGAGCAGAATGCTCGCCCAGATAAGGACATCAGCCGGCCCCAGAGCTGCATCCCTGCAGCATCTTTTGGGGATGCCAAGGGCATGGCAGAGAGCACGCAGCATCCTGATCCTGACCCCCCCACCAGAGCTGTCCCTGCGCTTAGTGAGAGCTCGGCTCCTGGCAGCAGGGCTGTGCACATGTGCCTTAGCTTGGAGCAGCATGGAAAGTGCCTGCGGCACCAGGGGAAAAAACACAGCAGTGAAACACAGCGGCCCTGAGCCACGTGCCTGGGCCATCCATCCACCCCGCAGCATCCCCCGTCAGCCGCCTCCCAGCCCCACTGGGTACCACAGGATGCTCCTCCAGGGGAGGATGCTGCCATCACCAGGCAGCCCCAAACACAGCCCTGCGTGGGATTGCCACAGGATGGGCCTCCCTGTTCAGAAAGCCGCGTGCCACCACGTCAGGCATGGGGACAGCCAAGGTGACACTGCTCTGATTACACTGCTGCATGGGCCAGGCTTGGGACCACAGGAGAGGTATTGCACATCTCAGACCATCCCCTGCATTCATTCCCTTGTAGGTAGAAACCGACCCACAAAGCACACCCCAGAGAGGTGAGGTTGGCCGAGCAGCTCTGCCAGGGGATCCCATAGGGAGAGCAGGGAGCTGCTGAGCACCGAGCTGTGATTCACGGCTGCACCATGGGAGGGCACCCAGTGCAACCACCACCAGCCCCACTCTGCACCCACCGAGCCTCCCCCTGGAACCCAGGGGTGCTCCCAACCCAGGGACCCCCAGTTCCAGTGCCTGCATGTCCCTGCCTGCGTCCCAATAACCTGGGCCAGCTCCTGCACCCAGCTGAGGGTGCTGCAAGGTGCTGGGTGCTCTCACCCACCCAAAATTTGCAGCCAAGCAACATGAGAGCAGCCCGCTGCTGCAAGTGCCTCTGATCCGGTGCTGTTAAAAACAAACAAACCAAACACCGTAAGACATAGAAATGAAACAAAAAGGGTTGGTTTCCCCCAGCAGTGCTCCGGTGGACACATGGGACAGCTGGCAGCCCTCCCTGTGCAGCAGGCAGGTGCCTGGTGATGTCCCTAAGGATGCTCACACCACAGCAGTGCCACATCCCAGTGTGGCATCACCAGCTCCGCTTTGTCACCTGGATTTGGTGCTGCTTTGGGGCACACCTGGGCCCCAGATAAAGCCAGAAGCTTTAAAAATCAACGGGCAAACGAGTACTTTAAAAATCAACGGGCAAACGAGTGCTTAAAACCCCTGAAAGCGTCCCTTCAGGGCCCTCCCGTCCCCACCTGATTCCTCCGCACCGCATCACGCCGCGTCTCCGCGCTGCTGCTGTTCGACTCGGCGGCGCACAGCAACGCGGGATCGGGGATTCGGGATCCACAGGTGATCCCGCTGACAGAACCGAGACTTCAACGCAGGGCCGGGACTCACCCCGAGCTCCCGACCGCCCCGACAGCCGCAACGCCCCGGCGCCGAACTGCGGGTCGGTTCCCCCGAGCAGCGATCGGATTTAAATCAGTGCCGGCCACGAGCTACCATATATGTGCAATAAAGACATCTGAGGTCTACGTTGTTTTGTTAAAGCCTTCGTACGGAGAGTGGGAAATTCCCTCCCTCGACGCCGCGCCGCCGTTGGCCTCCGATCCCCGCGGAGCTCCGGATGCCGAGGATCGGAGGGACCCGAGGAGGGCAGAGCCGGTCGGAGGTGACGGTGCGGCGGATCCTTTCCGTTTCTTAAGCTAATATTTAGACAGGACGCGTTTTCTCCCCTAACCCGAAAGCGCCGCACGACGAGCCGTGTTTGCCTTTCTGCGCTGCGGGACGCTCTCCAAGTATGAAGCAAACTCCTCCGGCAGCCCCAACGGCACCGGACGGGCGGGGGGCAGCGGGGGGCAGCCCGGTTCTGGAAGCACCGCTTCGTGGGGCGGCTCCGCTTGTTGGGCTCAGCTTGTTGGGCTCCGGGGGTGCGAGGGGACGGCGGCAGAGCCGGGACCGGGCTGGGAGCGATCCCCGGGAGTGCGGGAAGGATCCGTGCGGGATCCGTGCAGGTGCTGCGGGTTCCACGGGGGGGTTTCTTACCTGCAGGCCGGGTCGGTGCGCAGCGCTCAGCGGCTGCTCCGTGCTTGGAACGGGACACGCGTGGGACCGGGAGCCGCCATCGACGAGAAGCGGTGCTGTTCGGTTCGGTTCGCTGGTGCTGAGCCCGGCACGGCTCGGTTCGGCTGTGACACGGCTGCGGCACGGCTCGGCTCAGCACGGAGCGGGGGGGGGGCTCGGCCACCGCCTCCTCCCCGCGGCGGGGGGCGGGTTTGGAGCGGGTCGGCTCCCGAGCCCCGCCCGGTCCCGCCTCCCTCCCCCCGGTCCCGGGCTGAGCTCCGGGCCGAGCTCCGGGGCCGCTCCCGCCGCCCGGTGCCGCTCCCGGTGCCGCTCCGCACCTCGCGCATCGTTTGATCTAATCCGTAATTTCTTTTCTTTTACGGCTTCTCCGTTTGCCAAAGGGAATGAGAAATAGTTGGGAGAGATGGGGGTCCTCCATCCCCCACCGAGGACGAGGGGCACGAGGAGCACTGTGACAGCCTCTGAGCCGTCAGCCCCCGGCCAGGCTGCAGCAATGCTCTAATATGGCGATTGGGGAGAAGTTATTTCTAATCATAAAGAAATCCAGGTCAGCCAGACAAAGAGAGATGTCAAGGAATTGAAATCTTACCAGAAACACATCGAGTTTTAGGCAAACAGAGGCTCAAAGTGCAGCAGTCTCAAGGCCAGAGGGGACACCGGGCCCTGGCAGCTGATGGGACACGGGGTGACCTTGGGATGCTCCAGAAGAGCCAAGGACGTCCCCTCCCTTTATCTCAGCTGTTTCCTAATGGGACAAGCACTTCTCCAGCCAAATCCATGCCCGTGCGCTCACTGCAGCACTGCAGGACGGGTGGAAGCATCCCTGCTGCTCCCCTGTGACCACAGAAATCCAATTTAGCCAAAAGAAAGAAGCAAAAAAAGCGACGTTTCTTTCAGGTTTGGTGACAAACAGCTGCTCCTGCTGCTCTCTGCCCTGCCATCATTACTCTCCAGAGTTAACAGCCTCACCAGCAGCCCCCGCTTTGCTGCGCTCTCATGGCAGCCCCTCTTCACAG